TCCACACAACAAATTGCGATTCGAGTCCCAGAACTGGCGGGTTGGTTTCTTGCTTTCTCGATCACTCTGTCCCTCTCTGGTCAAATTAAAATAAGTAAATAAATATAGTTAAATAAAAGTATTTGGGGGTTTAAAGAATTTGTAGGGTAGGCTAGATTTCATCCAATGCATGATAAAAGACCTGGTGAGGAATTCCATGTGAAGGAAAGAAATTTGGTCTACATTTTGAATTGATTATCCACAGTTATGGATTTGAGAAGGTTAAAAAAAATGGAAGCAGGGAAGCTAGTAAGAAGTATCTATAAAAGGAGTTCAGAGAGTTGGGTACTCTGGAGAGAACTTGGATATTCAAGTTCTACGAGGGTAAAGGTAACAGAACTTAATATACTGGATGTGGATGATGAAGAAAAGAGAAAAAAAATTAAATGCAAACAGGTTTTCTTTCCTATTTCTACCTCAACTATTAACAAAGATTAAATCTATGGAATTTATTTTTATCACATTATTCTAAGCCAAAACCTCTTTAAATTCCTTACATTGGAAATCACAAACACTTATAAAAAGTAGCAAACTACATGCCATACAGAAGTATACCTTCCACAGTAGTGTATTTCCCATTATAAAATATTAATTTAGGAATCAGATCCAAGACTTGTATGGCCTTTTGACTAGTTTTGTAAACATCAAAGATCTCTTACTTATATTATTATGTTTCTCTAAGGTGGAGACAATACTAATAAAAATTCAAATATTCCACTTTTTAAAAATGAACTTACCAATTCAGCCCATACATGAAAATGTGGTATTATCTTAAGTTGTACAAAGTTTGACTTTCCATTTAATTTTCCATATGGAGATGACACTCCATTCCATAATTAAGGTTACAACACTTAGAACTCTTTATGGCTCTTCATATATGTTTATTTGATAATTAAATTCCAGTCTCTAATACCTATATATAACCACCATGTGACCAATGTTAAGCATGGCGATTCCATTACTTAAGAATTTGAGAGGCCCAAGGCTTGTGGCTATAAACTGTAATCAGCTATAGCCCCTAAGAGAAAATGTTTAGAAAAAACTACTTTCAAAAATATTTAGATACAGCCATTTTTAAAATTTTATTTCCTCAAACATATAATCTGGGGAAAAAGGTCAGGAGGTAAAATACAACAGGATTAACAAGCAAAATATCCCCTCTTAAAATCATCAATCTTAATAATTTTGAAGGAAAACTTGAGAGTAGGATCTTCTAGAAATATATCTGACCTGTTAAAAATTGAGCAGTACTTTGACTCCTGTGGCAATATAAATGCACCTGGAGTTCATTTAGATTTAGCAACAAAGAGTACAAAAATTAGCTTTTGGGTACCTTCCATTCTATCCATATTTTCAAATAAAGGACTAGTTCTTCCGTACAAGAGAAAGAAAACCAAGTCTTTCATTCTCACAAAATTAGCTAAATATTATGAAAAAGTTGACGGTTTTGTATTAATTTTTTCTTACCCTTTCCCTTTGGACTCCAGGTCTTCAGACTGAGTTACCAGCAAAGGGAAAATATAAAATTAACGTTTTTATTCGGCGGTTCCAATTTCAGTTTGGTCTGTTGGGTGACGGGGTCTTCGGTATTTGGCGGGAGAGGGGAAGGAGACCCTGGAAATCCTTGAGGTCGCTGGATGGCCCCTGAGGGCGCGGGACGTGAGGAGGCGGGAGATAACCGCGAGCTCGATTTCCCGCGCCAGCCAGTAAGACTCAGAAGACGAAAACTCAGGGAAACTGACTTCGTGCATATGACACTGGATTCGCTCATGGCTGACCACGGTGGTTTGAGCATCAGACCTGGAAGCTTAAAAATCACAAGGGCACATGCAGGTGTGTGCCCAAGAAAATGGATTGCAGTGTGGTCATCCCCATGGAGTTGCGATTTCCTACTTCCCCCAACTGTCTCTCTTCAGCAGGTGCATATGCCCTATGAGAAATGCCTAAAAACAAACAAAACAGAACAAAACAAAATCTGGATGCTAATTGCACACTTCATTTAAAAAGGCAAACCAGGGGCCAGCAGGTGGCGTAGTAGTTACATGCCAGACTCCCATATGGGCTAACCAGAGTTTAGGTTCTGGACATGATGCTTTAAAAATCATGCAGGGGGATCAGCAGTTGGTGTAATGGCTATGTTGCTGGACTCCCATGTAGCTGACCACAGTTCCAGTCCTGGACTGGGTGGCTTAAACTCATTTTTGGTGTGTGTTCACCCAAGATCCCAAGAGGAGAACAAAGGAGAAGGGACTGCAGCTTGGCCATCCTCCCTGGGAGGTGATTTCTCACTTTTTCTGTCTCTCTGTCTTTATAGAGAGCGCATGTGTCCTATGGCAAAAAACCTCTCCAAAAAAGAAAAAGAAAAGAAAACAATGCAAGTCACATGTGCATGCCAGTCCAAGATCCCAAGAGGAGAGGAGATCTCTCTTTCTCCTGTCTTTCCAGGGAGAGCATGTGCCCTCAGGCAAAAGCCTCTGAAAAAAAGAGACAAAAACAGTGAATTTTTCTTCCCCATAACAATTCTGCAAAATAAGGTGAATAATTGCCATGTTTACACAAAAACAATAAAGCTGAAACAGACCGCAAAAGGATAAATTTGGTCTTAAAAAAAACTATTTCAGAGCTTTTCAATGATTAAGCAAAGTGTTCATAATCAATTTGGGAATACAAAGAATACAAGTGTTCGGGCTGGCAGGTGACATGGTGGTTAAGGGCACTGGACATCCACACAACAAATTGCGGTTCGAGTCCCAGAACTGGCGGGTTGGTTTCTTGCTTTCTCGATCACTCTGTCCCTCTCTGGTCAAATTAAAATAAGTAAATAAATATAGTTAAATAAAAGTATTTGGGGGTTTAAAGAATTTGTAGGGTAGGCTAGATTTCATCCAATGCATGATAAAAGACCTGGTGAGGAATTCCATGTGAAGGAAAGAAATTTGGTCTACATTTTGAATTGATTATCCACAGTTATGGATTTGAGAAGGTTAAAAAAAATGGAAGCAGGGAAGCTAGTAAGAAGTATCTATAAAAGGAGTTCAGAGAGTTGGGTACTCTGGAGAGAACTTGGATATTCAAGTTCTACGAGGGTAAAGGTAACAGAACTTAATATACTGGATGTGGATGATGAAGAAAAGAGAAAAAAAATTAAATGCAAACAGGTTTTCTTTCCTATTTCTACCTCAACTATTAACAAAGATTAAATCTATGGAATTTATTTTTATCACATTATTCTAAGCCAAAACCTCTTTAAATTCCTTACATTGGAAATCACAAACACTTATAAAAAGTAGCAAACTACATGCCATACAGAAGTATACCTTCCACAGTAGTGTATTTCCCATTATAAAATATTAATTTAGGAATCAGATCCAAGACTTGTATGGCCTTTTGACTAGTTTTGTAAACATCAAAGATCTCTTACTTATATTATTATGTTTCTCTAAGGTGGAGACAATACTAATAAAAATTCAAATATTCCACTTTTTAAAAATGAACTTACCAATTCAGCCCATACATGAAAATGTGGTATTATCTTAAGTTGTACAAAGTTTGACTTTCCATTTAATTTTCCATATGGAGATGACACTCCATTCCATAATTAAGGTTACAACACTTAGAACTCTTTATGGCTCTTCATATATGTTTATTTGATAATTAAATTCCAGTCTCTAATACCTATATATAACCACCATGTGACCAATGTTAAGCATGGCGATTCCATTACTTAAGAATTTGAGAGGCCCAAGGCTTGTGGCTATAAACTGTAATCAGCTATAGCCCCTAAGAGAAAATGTTTAGAAAAAACTACTTTCAAAAATATTTAGATACAGCCATTTTTAAAATTTTATTTCCTCAAACATATAATCTGGGGAAACAGGTCAGGAGGTAAAATACAACAGGATTAACAAGCAAAATATCCCCTCTTAAAATCATCAATCTTAATAATTTTGAAGGAAAACTTGAGAGTAGGATCTTCTAGAAATATATCTGACCTGTTAAAAATTGAGCAGTACTTTGACTCCTGTGGCAATATAAATGCACCTGGAGTTCATTTAGATTTAGCAACAAAGAGTACAAAAATTAGCTTTTGGGTACCTTCCATTCTATCCATATTTTCAAATAAAGGACTAGTTCTTCCGTACAAGAGAAAGAAAACCAAGTCTTTCATTCTCACAAAATTAGCTAAATATTATGAAAAAGTTGACGGTTTTGTATTAATTTTTTCTTACCCTTTCCCTTTGGACTCCAGGTCTTCAGACTGAGTTACCAGCAAAGGGAAAATATAAAATTAACGTTTTTATTCGGCGGTTCCAATTTCAGTTTGGTCTGTTGGGTGACGGGGTCTTCGGTATTTGGCGGGAGAGGGGAAGGAGACCCTGGAAATCCTTGAGGTCGCTGGATGGCCCCTGAGGGCGCGGGACGTGAGGAGGCGGGAGATAACCGCGAGCTCGATTTCCCGCGCCCGCCAGTAAGACTCAGAGGTCGAAAACTCAGGGAAACTGACTTCGGATCCGGGGGTGCGAGACAGATATGGGGAAGGGGTGCAAGACGTGGGGATGAAGCACCTGGCCAGGTCAAGGGGGCTCGGCTCGCACCCTGTCAGAGTCAGGAACCACGGTGGGGGAGGGGAGGAGCATTTGGCGCCTATTCAAGCAGGGTGGGGAGAGGTGGACCTTCCGAGGAGGAGAAAAGGCGCCCGGGTTTGCCTCGACCTGCACCTCTGCTGGACTGGAGCCAGGTTGGGCCCGGACAGCGAGACCCCGCTACCTGCCATCCCACCCCAGCACTTCTGGCTCCCCTTCCCAGAACCTTGGCTTTCTTTCTCTCGGTCCAGGAACCGCCGCCGTCACCGCCGCCCGCTTGAGACCCCGCGCCCAAGCTCAGGAGCTATCTGGCCAGAGGTTGCAAGATGCACCCCTCCCGGAGCGCGCGCCCACCTCATGCCCGCTCCCCTCACTCACAGCTCGAAGGGCGAGGACGCCCGGAGGCTGTCACGGTGCTGCGGCTGGAGCTGCAGGAGCAGGGTGATGGTCGTGGAGAGCAGCTGCAGGAGCGCCGGCTCATACCAGTAGACTTGGGGCCTGCCTCAGGTGAAGGAACAGCTTCCTCGGCAGCAGAGCGGCCGCTCTCTCCACAGAACTGCATCTCTTAAAAGGCGCCAGCTGGTACTTTTAAAATCTTTGAATTTGGTGCCCAAATCATTGCGGCCCAATGGAACGCGCCGCTCGCAAGCGCGCACCAATAGTACGGCGGTGGGAGGAGGCTCTCTCACCCTCGCCCAATTGGAACCTGCAGGGGCGGGGCCCAGCTGCGAAACCCAACGCCCTCCCATTTTGCCGGCTCCAAACCACCGGAAAGATGCTGAGGCCGGGGGCGGGGCTGCCGAGCGCGCGGAGGCCGCAGCAGGGCGCACGTGGAGGGAGCCTACCACGCATGCGTGCGTACGCTTAGCTTCCCTCCTCCGCCTTGCGATCTCCCGGCTTCTTGCAAATCTTAACAGCCTGAAGGCAGTTCTAGCTTCTGTCTGAAGAGCTCCGCTGGATAGAAAGAGTGGCTGACTTTCTTCTGTCATCACACGAGTGGGAGTTCGGTGAGCGGTAACGCTGCTTGTCCGGGAATCCAGACTTTCCGGAAGACGAACCCTCCCCCCATCCCTTGCTAGCCCGCCTCTGTAGTATTCAAGCCCGCGCTCCTGGTTCCCTCCCCATTTCGCCGCACTGCGCAGGCGCCGGTGGCGGGTGGTGGCTGTGCAGTTGGCGCGTCGGCGCGTGCGCGCTTGTGCCCCGGCGGAAGGCGAAGGGAGAGGAGCGGCCACAGCTGCTTGGTCAGCCATTCACCATTGAGTGCTGGGCGCGGGGTGGCTGGCTCCGCCTGGGCTGTTTCGGGAGTCCAGCACTCCGAGATCTTCCAGCGGTGCTGAGTGTGCGGCAGCCAGTCATCTCTTGTACAGTTTTCCAGCCACTGTTCGTCGGCCGCGGTTGTTTGTACTGACGTCAAGTTTGAATTGTACCGACGCTCTGCTGAGTTTTTTCTCTCCTTCAAGCGCAAGAGACAGTAGCTTTGCTTCCAAAAACTAAATGAAAATTCTCACTCTTGGGCAGGAGGCCCTTTTGTCAAGTGAACGTTTTGCTGGTAATGGTAGAAATGGGTTTGAAGATTTAAGTCTTTGGTAATAATTTGTACCGTATTACTAGTGATGCTAAACTTTTCGCCACTTCAGTGATTGTAAGCGCTTTTGCTCTTTTGCTTTCCTGCAGCCTCAGGGAGAGGTAGTACTTGGCTTAGTGTTCAGTGCAGTTGTTGGAGACAGGATTAGGATGACTCATACAAGTGTTGAAGTGGATTCAATTCTTGTCTAAAACTTTGATTCTCATCATGAATTTCATTTGCATTAATTTACACATATAAGAATATTAAAATAGTATCAATCTTGATTATTGAAGTTTTTGTCATTCACCTCAATCTTGCACCCAAGGTATGGGCTTCACTTGTCTTATCTTAACCTGGCCTTGGCTCTGGGTCCTGAGGATGCAGAGTTGAAAAGACAAAAGTCCCCAACTTCATGGCAATTTCATAACAATGGGAAAGAAATTGACAACTAACAATTTAAGTAAGTGAAAGAGGATATAAAATAAAGGGTGTAGAGTGGGGAGCAGGGACACAGGTTAAAGACTCTGGATGGTCAGAAACATTTCTCAGGCTTTGGACCAAGATCTGATATAGCACTCGAAAATTTCTTGGAGGAGGCAGCAGTTAGCATAATGGCTGTGTCGCTGGACTCCCACGTGGTCGACCACAGTTCGCGTCCTGGACCCGGTTGTTTAAAACTCAAGCCGGGCATGTGTCCATACGTGCCCAAGATCCCAAGAGGAGAATGGAGAAGGGATTGCAGCGTGGCCATCTACCCCCCCGGGGGGTGGGGAGGGTGGGGGGTGATTTCTCGCTTTCTGTTTCTCTGTCTCTGTCTGGCAAGCGCACACGCCCTAGCAAAAACCTCTAAAAACACAGAAAAAACAGTTCTTACATAACTTCTTTTTATGTGTTATGAGAGGAATGTAAATTTCTCACAATTGTCTTAGCAATGTTTTCATTTTTTTTTTTTGGAGAGGTTTTCTCTATAGGGTGCATGCCCTCGCCAGACAGAGAGAGACAGAGAGATAGAAAGCGAGAAATCACCCCCCCCCAGGGGGGGATGGTCACGCCGCAATCCTGTCTCCATTCTCCTCTTGGGATCTTGGGCACGCACGCACACGCACCCGACGTGAGTTTTAAGCCACCGGGTCGACTGCGTGGGAGTCCAGCGGCATAGCCATCACGCTAACTGCTGGTCCCAGGAATGTTTTCATTTTATGATTGTATTGAAGTTAATTGATTTTCACTGTGTTTACTAGAACCACACAGCTAGTAAGCAGATCCCAGTTCCAAAGCATGATTCAAAAAGCCCTGTACCTTGTCCATGATATGTTAGGTAATAATAGTATTTGCTAGCGTCCTGGTGGTTCATAGTACATTTTTACATTACTTTCGTTTGACTTTACAGATCATCTTTATTGGGACCAGCATGTGGCATAGTGATTAGGGAGGCTGGATTCTCACATGGCCAACTCAGGTTTGAATCCCAGACCTGGTGGCTTGCTTTCTCACTTTCCCTTTCTCTCTGTCCCTGGTCAAATGGAAAAATAATAACATAATGGAATTAAATAATTCTTTAAAAAAAGCACAATACCAAAAAAGAGATTTTTTTCCCCTTTTTGAGAGATTTTTTTGCTGTAAGGTGTGGGCACTTGCCAGAAAGACAGACAGAAAGCAAGAAATCGCCCCCCAGGGGGATGGCCACATCTCAATCCCATCTCCTCTGTTCTCCTCTCGGGATCTTGGGCACGCACTCACACTCGCCCAGCATGAGTTTAAGCTACCAGGTCTGGGACTTGAAATGCAGTTGGCTACATGGTCGTCCAACGCAGCGACATAGCCATTACGCCAACTGCTGGTCCCCCTGAAAAAGAATATCTTGGGAACCAGCAGTTAGCATAATGACTATGTCGCTGGACTCCCACATAGTCGACCGCGGTTCGCGTCCTGGACCCGGTGGCTTAAAACTCACACTGGGCGCATGTGCATGCGTGCCCAAGATCCCGAGAGAATGGAGGAGAAGGGATTGCGGCGTGACCATCCCCTCTGGGGGGTGATTTCTCGCTTTCTGTCTCTCTGTCTCTCTCTGTCTGGCGAGTGCACGCACCCTATAGCAAAAAAAAAAAAAAAAAAACTCTCCAAAAAAAAAAAATCTTTATTTACCTCTTTTATTTGAGAAGTGGACAGATAAAAAATTTTGTGGGGTCAAGGGCCTTTATTTAGTTAGTTGAACCCCTGAAATATAAATCTTAACCACAGCTTAAAAATGTTCTTCAGCAGTTTTTTCTTTTCCTTAAAAGCTGATATAGTAATGGCAAAAATCAATTAGTAGTAATATAAGGTAGTACAAAGTCAGTCATGTTTTGTTGCATATTGGAATAATTTTTCAGTCTTTCCCAGTTTATTAGACTACTTAAAAACTGACTTTAAATGATGTTTGAGTCTTTTTTTAAGTTATTTTTATTTCTTTTATGAGATTGAGAAACAGAAAGACAAGCCACCCTCAAATGGGTCTCAAGCTGCAAACCTCTACCAGCCTGTGAGCTTTTGTTAATGAAATATTCTTAAATAACAGTTTTTAATCTTCAGTTAGAAACTTAAAAAGGGCCATTTGAATTTTACAAAATGTCAACAGATGTGTACATACCCTTTCCTTCAAATCAGAATCAGTGGTTGAATCTCTAGGTGCAAAATGAAGTGCACTAAGAATTGCCCTCATTCTTTCATCAGGTTATTGCAGAACTACATGTAAGAGAATCTGAAGTATATGGAAATAATTGGGATGTGGTACCTCCCTTTTGCTTACATGTAAGCAAAGTAGACATAACAGCAGCTCCAAAATAACTTTTGAGTAAAAGACTCAAACCACAGTGAGGATAAACTGTATAAAATAAGGCTATAATGGAACTTTGAGTTAAATACATTTACAGTAGGAATTTTATGACAGGATAAGGGAATATAATCTGTAGGATAGAGCTTCTGTCTCAGCACTATAGACATTTTGCGTCAGGTGCTTCTTTGTTGTGGGAGTTACATCGTAGGGGAGATAGCAGTATCCCTGGTCCCTAATGCTCCCTGCACAAAAACCTTAACAATAACTGCTTTTAAATATCTACTGGATCTGGTGGTTAAGGGAGCTTGTATTCCATGTGGTTGATAGTGTGGTTGGAGTCCCGGCCTGGCAACACACATGTGCCCAAAATCCCAAAAAGAGGACAAATGGAGAAGGTATTGCAGTGTGACCAGGCTCCATAGTGGATGCTTTCTCACTTTCCCTGTCTCCTCAGCATACATGCCCTCTGGCATATTTAATATACAGAAAACATAGGGCCAGCAGGTAGGTATGTATGGTGGTTAAGGTGCTAGAGTCCCATGTGGCTGACTGCGGTTTGAGTCCAGGTCCTGGAAGCTTGCTTTCTCACTTCTCTCTCTCTCTCTCTCTGTCTCTTTCTGGTCAAATTATCTCGTGCCCTGATGAGTGCATGTTCCCTTTAGCAAGTTATAAAAATAATAGTTAATAAAATTAAATTCTTTAAAAAAAAAAACAAAAACTTAGTGCTTATTACAGAATGTTGACAGGTTCTAAAGACAAATGACCAAAACAATCTTTTTTTTTTTTTTTTTTAGATTTTTGCTATGGGGCATGTGTGTTCACCAGACAGGACAAAGTGAGAAGTCACATCTCAGGGGGTTGGCCATGCCACAGTCCCTTCTCTCCTCCATTCTCTTGGGATTTTGGGCACACATGCACATGTGTCCAACCTGTGTTTTAAACCACTGGGCCACTGGGTCTGGGACGCAAACTGTGGTTGACTATGTGGGATTACAGGGATATAATCATTACACCATCTGCTGGTCCAATGAAACACAGTCTTGTCTATTAATGAGACAGTGTGAAAGGTCTAGCAATATTTGTTCAACCTGTTCCCTGACCCACCCATTCCATTCCCTTATTAAGCATATTATCTTGAGACAGGAATAAAGTAGTAAGTTTACTACCTAGTGATACATGTACAGGTACAGTGTTTTAGTCCTTTTTGTGCTGCTATTAACACAGTATCACAGATTGAGTGACTTGGAACAGAAATTTCTCTTTTTTTCTGATGGCTGAGAAGTCCAAGATCAAGTCACTGGCATCTGGTGTGGGCTGCTTTTGGTGTTTACTACTATGAATTTAACATTTATTCATTATCAACTAGGTGTAACTCTTTTCATAATTTTAGAGTTGTTTACCTTAGGCTATCAAAACATATTTCTAAGCCATTTCCAGCTTATTTCACTAATTCATTGGATAACTGAAATGTTTTAAGTTTCATATTAAGAACACTTCATTATTCTCTGTTGTACTCAACACCACAAGGTCTGTCTTTTATAGCTGTGCTGCTCCAAGCAAACGAGGGTGGGCTTTCCTTCCCTCTCCCTCTCAGGCCCAATTCTCTGGCATCAGTCTTCTCAGAAAAGAGCTATGCATAACCAGGAGTCTCAGTAAGGAACAACTTTTTTTGAATCTTTTAACAGAGATTATTGATAGAGATTAGACTGGTTTAGCTTTAAGCTAATTTTCAACTAGTTTAATCACAACACAGAGTGAATACATTTGTCTAACTTGTCATCTTTTTTAGACAGTCTAATCTCACCAAAAGCTTCTAAGAGGTTTTAAACCTGGGCTATTTAAATATATATTTTAGTGAAAACCATGTTAAATCATAGGAAAGAAAGGGAATATTCAAAACTAGTCAAGTATTAAGCTCTACCTTCTAGTTTGCAGGAAATACTGACTTAAGGTAAAAGCTAAATGACACCATAATCTCTATCTTGATCTCAAATGAAAATTTAGTGAATGTTAAAAAAAGAAAAAGAAAAAAAGGAGAGAGAGGTATGGATGCTCTAGACTAGAATTTAAGAGAGAAAATCAAATTCAATGTATAATCTTCAATTGGATTCTGGCTTGAAGAAGGCAGTTATAACACCTTTTGGGGAGTACTGGGAAAATTTTATATGGTATTTGAAGATATTAGGAAGTTACTGTGAATTTTGTTAGGTGATGATGGTACATGGTTAAATAGAATACTTTTAGTTTTTGCAAAATGCGAGCTGAAATATTTAAAAGTGAAGTGTAGTAGTATTTATGATTTACTTCAAACACTAGGTTAATATGAAGACATTTTATTGAAACTAGGTAATAGTAAGGGTGTTTGTGCCAGCCTCTTAACAGCAAATTTACTTTCATTGTCTGACACTGTATTAAAGCTATATTAGAGCTAGTTTCATGTATTTTTAAGTTACCTAGTGTCATGTATTGTTATTGCAGCATAGACTGAGTCTAGGCAACTTAAAAAAAACAAATTTATGGGAACCAGCAGTTAGCGTAATGGCTATGTCGCTGGACTCCCACGTAGTCGACCGCGGTTCGTGTCCCGGACCCAGTGGCTTAAAAAACTCACGCCGGGGGAACCAGCAGTTAGCATAATGGCTATGTCGCTGGATTCCCACATATTTCTCGCTTTCTGTCTCTATGTCTCTCTCTGTCTGGCAAGCGCACGCGCCCTATAGCGAAAATCTCTCCAAAAAAAAAAAGAAAAAACTCACGCTGGGCGCGTGTGCGTGCATGCCCAAGATCCCAAGAGGAGAATGGAGAAGGGATTGCGGCGTGACCATCCCCCCTGGGGGGTGATTTCTCACTTTCTGTCTCTATGTCTCTCTCTGTCTGTCTGGCGAGCGCATGCGCCCTACAGTGAAAATCTCTCAAAAAAAAAAAAACAAATTTATTTCTCACAGTTCTGGAGGCTAGAAGTCCAAGGTCAAGGCACTCATTTACTTCCTTTTATTGAAGGCTTTTGTACTTCATCTACACATGGCAGAAGGCAGAAAAGCAAGCTAGTCTAATGCTTTATGAAGCCTCTTTTATAAGGGCCTCAACCCCATTCATAAGGGAGAAACCCTAATGGCCTAATCACCTCTTAAAATTATCGCATTGGCAATAACTGAATTTTGGCGTGGACATTCAAACCCTAGCAATCTGTAAACATTTCTCCTTTGCCAGCTAGTACCATGTTAAACCTTGTCAGTAGAGGGTAGTGGATGGACAATGTAGGAAGAAAAAGCTTTGCTTCTTGTCTCTTCTATGGAACAGCTTCCAAAGACTCTTGGATACTGTGATGGTTAATTGTGTCAATTTGTTTGGGTCAAAAGCTACCCAAGGGAACAGCAGTTAGCGTAATGGCTATGTCGCTGGACTCTCACACAGTCCACTGCAGTTCAAGTCCCCAACCCGGTGGCTTAAAAAAACTCACGCCAGGCGCATGTGCGTACGTGCCCAAGATCCCGAGAGGAAAATGGAGAAGGGACTGTGGCATGACCATCCCCCTTGGGGGGTGATTTCTCACTTTTTGTCTCTCTGTCTTTCTGGCAGGCACATGTGCCCTATAGCAAAAACCTCTCAAAAAAAAAAGGTACCCAGAGAATTGGTCCAACATTATTTTGGATGTTTCTGTGAGGGGTATTTTTGTATAGGACTGGCCTTTAAATTTGTGAACTTGAGTAACAGATTGCCTTCTATAATGTCTGTGGGTACATTCAATTAGTTGAAGATCTGGATGGACCGAAAGATTGGTCTCCTGCAAACAAGAGAATTCTTCACAGACTGTCTTTAAACTTGAACTGCACCTCTCCTGGGTCCCTAGGTTTTTTGCTCACACTGCAGATTTTGGAGTTGCTAGTATCAGTAATCAAGTGACCCAATCACTTAAACACACCCTGTGGGTTCTGCTGCTTTGGAGAACCCTGACTGTACAGACTGCTACTGAGACCTACCTTATGACAGTTTTTGCTCACATCTTAACAAGAGGCTTCTGCTTACCAGTCTTGATGTTTGGAAGTTCTCTGCTTGCAAGGCCTGGTCTACCAGGTACACATCAGCTCCAGCCCAGGACAACCAGGGGAACTTTTCCATCATTTAGTGGGCTATAGTCCTACCCTCTCCTGTTGGACTGACTCCATAGTGAAAAAGGCGAGCCCCTTCCAGTGGCATTTTTTAACCCTGGGCACTCTCAGTCCTAGTAGTATTTCTCTTTCATCCCTCAGTAAATCTCATTATCAGTTAAAAATTCTTTATATAAGATTATCTGTGTTCAAATTAATAGTATGGTATTTCTCTCCTGACTAGACCCTAACTAATACACTGTTTACTGTCAGATTTTTAATATTGAAGTTTTTCATAACAGAGATTTAATCAAATTTTTGATCTATTAAATATTTTATATAAAACTATTTTCCTTTAACTATTTATAAAGAATTCAATATTTACAACTATAATTATAATTATATTTAACTATTACATAACAGAAATGTATATAAATTAAGTATGTCTTAATAATATGCCTATTCCTTTCAACTGTGTTAACTCATGTTTCTCAAGACTATTGATATTTACATACAAATGTGATTTGCTGTAGCAGAATTTTCCTAAGTTATAAGAGCCTTTATTCACAATACACAATAAACATTTTTAGAAATAATCTCTACTAAAGATTCATAATTGGCATAGTCCTTCAGTGATTGTACGAGTTCATCCAGTAGGTAATCTCCTTGCATAAAAGTTTCAAGATCATGAAGTGACTTGTTTATCCTGTGATCTGTGACCCGGTTCTGTGGAAAATTGTATGTTCTTATTTTTTCTGACCTTCCTCTAGTTCCAATCTGTATACATTAAAAAAAAGAGAGGGGGGGGGGAGGTAGTTAAGATTCTGGGCAACTTAAACCTATACATTTCATTTAGAGATTACATACTTGATTTACAATATGAATCATAACATAAGAACCAAGGCTTAAACATTTCAAATCCCCAAACATGAGAACATGGTTCAGAAAAAAGAACACGGGCTTTAAAATGACAGATAGGGACTGGCCGGTGGCATGGTGGTTGAGGTGCTAGACTCCCACATGGCTGACAGCAGTTCAAGTCCTGGACCTACTGGCTTGCTTTCTCACTCTCTCTGTTTCTGGTGAGTGTACATGCCCTGTAGCAAATTAAAAATAATAATTATAAATAAGTCTTTAAAAAAAATGACAGAATTTTTTTTTTTCAGTTTTTTTGCCATAGGGCATGTGTGTTTGCTGGTGAAAGACAGGAGAGATAAACAGGGAAAATGAGAAATCACCCCCACCCCCCCTGGGGAAATGGTCATACTAAAATCCCTTTTCCGTTCCCTTGTTGGGATTTTGGGCATGCACACACACATGCCTGGTGTGATTTTTCAGGCCACTGTGTTGGGGAACTCAAATCACAGTTGGGCATGTGGGAGTCCAGTGCCTTAACTACTTACTTATTATGCTATTTGCTGGCCCCCGCAGATGAATATTTACTTCACCTCTAAACCTCAGTTTCCCCATGTATAAAATATAGACAAGTTTCAACTACACAGTAATGATAGATAGAGAGAATAGTACATAATATTCAAATAGTAGCTCAATATCACTAATCTCTGAATTAATACAGTCATCTTCAGGGGGGGAGGTCAGGTGAATTCTCACATTGAAGAGTTCTTAAAAGGATGGTAAAATTAAATACTAAATATGAAGCAAGTAAGTTTAGCCTGCTTTTTGACTTTCTTCTGCCATAATTTCAAAGGACTGAAAATTAATAGGGATTCTCTATCTTTTTTGTAACTTTGAGTAAAAGTCTGAGAAAATACCTTTGAATATAGAAAACAGGGCAGTAAAAGATTACTGTAAAACAAGTGTAGCCCTTAGTTAAGCTATTTGTTCTTATTCTGACATACATAAAAACTGTTATCTAAAAAGATAATCCTTTAGTCTTTTAGAAGTGTTTTTAAAAATTCACTTTTACCTGAATCTTTCTGGCATTGTATCTTTTACTTGTTTCTTCTTCTAGTTGCATGCTGTACAGTTTTGCACGTAACTTTTTCATGGCCATCTCTCTATTTTTCAGCTGAGATCTTTCTTGCTGGCATTCAGAAACAACACCTGAATAGTGTTATGAGAATTAAAAAGTTTTAATTGAAACACCTTCTTTATGGTCAAGGAATATTCGTTTTCCTTCTCATCTTTTTTCTTCTTCCTTTATGAAGGAAAAAACAGAACTCTAATATGGAAGGAAGACTAAAACTTCAATAACTTTTATAGTTTATCAGAAAACTGAAAAGTGTTAGTGTGAACTATAACGTAAAATTTCTGTATTGAAGGCATAGATACTAAACAGTACACAGAAACCACTTAATATGGATTGTTTTCCCATACCCTCATTTAGTCACCACAAGTTTTTAAAGTCACAATGACAGAAACTAAGATATATAACACCAGCCCATGGTTAAGGTGGGTGGATTACACATGACTGTGAAATTCCAGTCTTGAACCTGGTGGCTTGAGAAACACACCAGGCATGTGTGTGTGCACGCCCAAAATCCCAAGGAACAGAGAAATGGAGAAGGGATTGCACTGGTGAACAGTCCACATGGCAGGGTTGCTTACTCACTTTCCCTTCTCTTTCTGGTGAAAGTACGTGCCCTCTGGCAAAATCAAAGAAAACAAAAAAGAAACTAAGATACGTAAAAGTTATTAATAAAAATCCTATTGCCAGAGATAACCACATTAATAACTTTTAGGATTCTATTTTTTTCCTACTCCTGTTTACATTCTCTGTAATACTAAGACATTATCGTCATTTTCTTTTTTGTGTGAGAGATTTTTGCTGTAGGGTGTGTACACTCACCAGAGAGATAGAAAGCGAGAAACTACCTTTTGAGTGGAGATGGCCACCCTGCAATCCCCTCCCCTCTATTTTCTCAGGATTTGGGGCATACATGCACATGTGCCAGCGTGATTCTCAAGCTGTTGGGTCTGGGACTTGAACTGTGGCTGGCTATGTGGTTTGGCTGGCTGTGTGGGAGTCCAGCACCTTAACCATCAGGCTACCTGCTGGCCCAAAGACATCATCTTGAAAATTTAATTTGAGGATTTTCTAATTTTAAAAAACAAAATCATATCAATCTAGCACCTTTAGGAGCTATTATTAGTTAATGGAAAATTATGCTTATTTGAGATCAGTTATAGTAAGAAATCCTTCTGTTCTCTCCAGGTAACTCAGGTTTGTTATCCATATGTTCTTTATCACAAGTAAGTCACTATAGTATAATAATACTTCTTAAGACATGTTTAAGTCTTGGGAACCAGCAGTTAGCGTAATGGCTATGTCGCTGGACTCCCACGTAGTCAAACGCGGTTCACGTCCCGGACCCAGTGACTTAGAACTCACTCCAGGCGCGTGTGCGTGCGTGCCCAAGATCCCAAGAGGAGAATGGAGGAGAAGGGATTGTGGCGTGACCATCCCCCCTGGGGGGTGATTTCTCCCTTTCTGTCTCTCTGTCTGTCTGGCGAG